ATATATATTTATTTTATAAACATTAATTTTATTTCCACCTAATAATTTTATGAATAAATTTTTCCATTTCTATATTTTGTATATAGTAATTTATTTTATTATTTTATAATTGAAAATGTGCATACCAAAAATATGTATCAACTTTTAGTATTTAATTAATATTTATTGCATAGTTTGAATCTACTGTCGGACCATTTTTTTAATTATCCTGTCGCTTAGCAATTCTCGAATGGATATTATTCCATTAAAAAAATGAATCTTTATTGACTTGACTTTCATAATAATAATAATAATAATATTCTAATTATTTAGTGTATAGAAATTAATTATAATTTAAAACATTACATGCATAATTAATTAATTTTTTTTTATTCTCAATTATAAAATGATGAATTTTTATTTTCATTTATTAATTAAAAATCACAAAATATCCACTTTGAATTGAAAAAAAAGAAAACATTTATATCATATTTTTATTTCAATTCACATTAATTTTCTATTTAATTAAAAATTGACCAAACCCACAATTAAAATTTATCAAAAATTGAAAGATTGCATTTCAATTTTTTGTCAATTACTTATTAATTTACTTAAAATTAAACTTTAGAGTTAATCTTCCAAAATCTTATGGTTCAATTAACCACACACATGTTCTTGAATAAATTCAAAAAAAAAAATAATTTAATTTAATTCCTAATATAAAAAATAAAATTAATTACAGAATAATGTAATTAAAGTAAATTAATGGTAGTAATAATTAACAAAATAAAAAGATCGGCGATTAATTGAAATATGGCGAGTAATTGGGGAGAGCAGGTGACATGGCAGAAAAAGGGGGGACAGCAAAGCACTATCTTTTTGTGCAATGTGGGAGAATCAAAGATCTCAAACGCCACATAAACTTGTGGTTCTCATTTTTTCATTTCTCTGCTGGCGTGGCATTTCCCACCTCCCCCTTTATACCTCCTTTCTTCTTCTTCTTCTTCTTCTTCTTCTTCTTCCTTCTTCTTCTCCCCCCCTGTTTCTCCCCCATTCATGCTATAGTTCTGGAACAATACTTCTTCTCTGCTTCACTGTATTTACTCTTCCAACACAGACTCAGAGAGGATTCTCTCTTTGTTTTTCTCAATCACGAATCTGAATCTGCATAATGTTTGAATCTAAAGACACCGCTATAAAGCTCTTCGGCAAGACGATCCCATTGCCGATACTCAATCACCAAATTGTTTCGCCTAATCATTCGTCTTCCCTTACTCTTGACCATGCTACTGCTGCTGTTACTGCTGATCACACTTCTCCTTCTGCTATTTTTTTGCCTCAAGACACCACTGGAGGTTCGTCAACAGATGGCAACGGAGGAGATCAAAACAAGGTAGGTAACTTTTCTGGTTTTGTTTTGTTTTTTTTTTATCGCTCGCTGTGATGTGTTTCTCTTCCGAATTCCCGAGGCTTTTTTCGATTATAAGCGCTGACCTGTTTTTGGAAATTTTAGGGATTGTCAATGGCTAGGTTTTCCGGGATTTTAATAATTGACCTGTCCTTTCCGGCTTCTGCAGTTTACGATTCCCAATTCTGTAACAACTGTATTTCTGAAATTTCAAAACTGTTAAAGGATCGTTCCGGTTTCGTAGTATCTTTGCTTTTCAGTTTATCGAGGTGTTTCCGATGCTGGATGTTCCGGAAGTTAAAAAAGACTTCGGATCATTTCTGTGTTTGCTTTTGTTTCTGTTGGATACTCAATATTTGGGGGAATTTCCATAATTACTGAAATTTTCCATTTCTGATCATTATCGTAGTAGTTTGAGTGGATCACCTTACAGCAATTACCTCTCTGTTCATAAACAAATCAATTAGGCCATCTGCTGCTTCTCCAATTTTGACCCTTCTCATGTTCATTTACTATTTTTTTTTATCTGATTTAGTTCAACCAATTTACTGTTCTGTACTTGATTATAATTTGGTCTCTGAGTCCTTGTCAGTTGGTACTGGATCAGCCGCTCTGTTCCGAAAAAATACCTTTTGTTGATTTATAGGTTCTGTTTCAACAGTCATGGATCTCTTACTTACCTTTGGATCTTTGTAGTTAATTGAACTGTTTCTTTTTTGTTTTAGGATCTGAACCAATCTACTCTTTCTTCTTCTCCTTTCCCCTCTTGGGATCAATTCTCTGTCTGCTTTTCTTCTGTTAGGATTATTCTGTCAGAGGGTATAAGTGGTTCAAAATTGAAATCAAACAGAAAACAGGTTAATGCTTTTTTTTCCTCTTTTTTTTGAAGAAAACAATTTGAGTAGAAACTTAAAACTTTGATTCTCTGGTTATAAAATTTCTTCAACTGTTTGTGAATTTAAACTTGAGTTTAGCCTTCTACCATGTAAACTTGAGTTTTCCTGCTGAAACTCAGAAATTTCAGGAAAATTCTGGGGAACAAGTCATCGAGGATAAGCAGGAAGGTAACACGTCGGATCACAGCGCCGAGGACTTAAAAGAGCCTGCAACAACATCATCTGGCATCAGTGAGAACCCTAAAACTTCCTCTGCTGACAGAGAAACTTCATCATTGAAAAGTGCTAACAATGGAGAGCAAAGTGACACAAGTAGTTCTCAAGAAAAGACGCTGAAGAAGCCGGATAAGATCCTTCCATGTCCGCGATGTAATAGTATGGACACCAAGTTCTGTTACTACAACAATTACAACGTAAACCAGCCGCGCCATTTCTGCAAAAACTGTCAAAGATACTGGACTGCCGGAGGAACTATGAGGAATGTTCCTGTGGGTGCTGGTCGTCGTAAGAACAAAAGCTCTTCTGCTTCACATTATCGTCACATAATGGTTTCAGAAGCTCTACGAGCTGCTCAAGTTTCTGCCTCAAATGCAATCCACAAAGCTTCTTTGGGAAATACTGGCACCATCCTTAACTTTGGCAGCACAGATTCTCCATTATGCGAATCTGTAGCTTCGGTGTTGAAACTTTCGGAGAAACCACAGAATTGTGCTCAAAATGGGTTTCATTTATCTGAGCAGAGGATTCTTATTTCCTCAGGAGCTACAGCAGATACTGCAGATGATCATTCAACCATGAATTCATCAGAGAAGGGACATGAAGCAGCAGCTGCTAAAAACTATCAAGCTTACCCACCTCAAATGCCATGTTTTCCAGGGCCTCCATGGCCTTACCCCTGGAATTCTTCAATTCCTCCACCACCCGCTTTCTGCCCTTCAGGCTTTCCTGTATCATTCTACCCACCACCAACCTATTGGAGCTGCGCAGTGCCCCCTCCATGGAGTGTACCATTTATCACCTCGCCACCCTCTTCTCTAAACCAGTCCCCACAAAGTTCTGGTCCTTCTTCTCCAACTCTAGGGAAGCATTCAAGGGATGGCAACATCCTTAGCACTCCATCAAACACAGAGAAAGAACAGCCCTCAACCGATACGGAGAAAACTGTGTTGGTTCCAAAAACTCTGAGAATTGATGATCCAAGAGAAGCTGCAAAGAGCTCTATATGGGCAACACTTGGGATCAAAGCTGAGAATAAAAGTTCTAGCAATGGAGGAGGCTTATTTAAGGGCTTCCAATCAAGGGCTGATGACAGAAATTGCATGGCTGAAGCATCCCCAGTATTGCAGGCCAATCCCGCCGCCTTGTCACGCTCACTTAATTTCCATGAGAGCATATAAACCAGAGCTGAAAGTGAGCTGTAAACACTCTGCTATATACATATATATATATATATATATATATGTTTATCCATATATTTCCTCACTACGTCTTGTTGTTAATTAACCTAGCTGAAAGTGCAGGAACTGTTGGGGAAAGCAATCCAATATATATTTATATATATATATATATATATATATAAAGGAAGGTCAGAGAACCATGTATCTGTTTTACCCTGTACAAGTGCCGAGCTATATCTCTAACTAGCTCATATATAGTGCCATTTTTTGGTCCTTTTTTTTTTGGTTTCTTTAAGTTTTGGCTGTAAACTTGAACAGTCGTTTTGGTCTTGACCTAGAATGTTTGTTGAGTGAGTAGTAATACTTGTAAAATATAGCTTGAAAAGAAGCGATTCTTGAATGTAAGAAATTGGGAAAATAAACATGTGAATCCTCATCCTTTTTTATCTTCAACTTCTCCTCCTGCTTCATTTGCAGTTCCTTTGAATCTTGCAGGCTCTGTCATGTCCCTCCTCTTGCAATCTTTACCTTTAGTATTCTCAAAAAGAGAAGACAAAACATGGGATTATGGTACAAGAATCAAGGTTTTTCTTGCTGTTAAAAGCTTCTGGTTTTAATGTCAGATTCATTTATGTTTATGTTCCCCCTCTGTGCAGACTGAAGTTATTACTATCTGCCAACTATCCAGAATTCAACTTTGAAGACCCGAGATTTATACTGAGCTGGATTAAAACAAAAGACAAAAGGGGTTTAATTTAAGTCATTTTGAAGCAAGTAGATTTCAAAAAGAAAATCTATAAAGAGTCACCCACATGCAAACTTATTATAAAGTATATTATATATACATACACACACACACACACACACATATATATATAATTATTATTATAAAGAGAGGACACGTTTCTGTTCGAGTAAAGTAATTTTAAAAAGAAAACCAAAAAGATTATGAGTTACCCACATGCAAACTTCCAAACCCACTCACTCTCTCAATTAAGGATTAATAATATATTCTTCACTCATTAAAAAAAAAAATAAATAAATAATAATAATAATAATTTATAGTGGAATAAAATAATTTTATATGTTGTGAAGAAGATAAACATGAATTTATTTTTATGTTAGAAAACGTCAAGCACCCAAAATAAAGAATCCAAAAGAAAGCAAATAACAAAAAGGCCAAAAGAGAATAAAACAGAAGCAAGCATAAAAGGTTTCTTTCACCAAGCATAAAAAAGTTTCCTCCTTTCTTTTTTTTGCCTTCGCTTAATGTCAAACACACAACCTCCATACACTAATTATCTATCTCTTACTTAAAGTTTTCTTCGCTCTTACAAAAAGTTTACCGCTTCTAATCGGACTATTCCTATTAAGAAATTGTATCATGATAATTGTGTGTGTGTGTACCGTCTAATTAATAAAAAAAATATATATTTTTTATTTAATTTTATATCAAATAACTTTTTTTAAAAAATTTACGAACTGACTCTCAATTTTTTTTTTTTTTAATCAGATTCTCTATCAGAACATTAGATATTTAAATGTTGTTTTCAAAAAAAATAGGAGGCCACATTTTGTGTACAAATTTTAATTGTCATAAGGGACCCAATACCACGTGGTGTCGTGACATGTATAGCTTTAAATTGTCAATTTTTGTAAAGAAATTAAATGGGGCAATGACCTTTCTTTTTCTTTTTTGTTTGCTTCCCACCTTTCTCTCCTCGTTTTTTCATTAAATAAAAATTTCATGTGATTTTTATCTCCCTTCATCAATTTTCTTTTTTTAAATAATAATAAAAAAGTTGTGATAAGAGGTCTTTTATCAATTTTTTTCTTTCGTTTTTATGAAGTTTGAATAGTAATTTAAAGTAACGACAGATAACGAAACTTAAAAATTTAGTATAACTAATAAAAATATTATTTTTAATTTAATTTTTATGTAGCATATTGTAAACGAATAATGCATTTCTAGATTTTTTTTTTAAGGAAAAATTTGATTTTGATGTCTTTTCTTTAAAAAAAAACTCTAATCACTAAAAATGTTGAAACCCATTATAAGGTATATGGAAAGTAAATTAATTAATTTTTTTTAATCACATTTCTTCAATTAAAAAAAAAAGTAGTAATAATATTCATAAAATACTAGAAAAAATAACCATGATATTTATGAAACAAAATAAGATAGTATATAGATATGGCTCCTCTACTATGAACCCTACCAAAATATTGTTTTCTTTAGTAATACAACCAAGAGATCTACTTCATGTGCTAGACAAATTATACAATCTAGGGGACAAACACTCACACACCTAACCTAAACCTTTTTGTAATTATGATAATTATATTTCTTTTTATTTTTTATATAAAATATTAAATATGTTGATTAAAAAAATTATTTTTCCATAGGGTCATGCAACTTTATTAATAATTTTTTTTAATATAATATAATGTATATTAATTTAGTATTAGGTAAAAATTGAAACCTAGATCTGAATCATAAATTAAAAATTTGTATAACTAGTTGTTAATGTTGGGTTTTAATTTACCATGTGCGTTTATATGTGTAAATTGTTGTATGTAAAAGACTGTCGAATTAATTGAGTCCGATTAAAAGTGATTTGATACGGTTAAGAATGTATTGAACTTTAATGAATCATATTAAAATGTTAATTTTTTATGTGTATAAACTAAATATGTAATTTTTAATTTTGTTATAGATCAAATTAGGAATAAAGAAAGTTGACAAACATGTTTACCTATAAATATACGGTTATGGTTCCCAAATTATACGTAAAATTTTTTTATTATGATTATAACAGCCTCGGAAATTAATAAAAGAAATGTATATAAAGAATATAAGTGCGGAAGCGAAATAAAATGTTCTGATTAATATCCTTTACACAATAACTTAAACGTACTAACAATACCAAAAATAAGTCATTTAAAAGAAAATACTAGAAATGAAAAACTATAAAAGAATTAATAAACATCTAAGTATCTACTTGTTGTCTTCTTGTAGATCGGGCTCGGGAACTAAGTCATTCTGATCTGAAATGATTAAGTAAGGAATGAGCTACACTAGCCCAGTAAAGACATCCCACTATATTACTGTCACAGAAGTAAAGGTTGGTAGAAAACCAAAGACAACCAATGGAGCACAAGTTTTAAGTAAATTTATTTATCAATAATCAAACCATTTACTGTCCACTTATCTCAGTTGGATTTATAAAAACGACTCATGGAAAAAGTAACATCATAAATATCATGAATTCATACATAATCTGTATCATAGTACATGTCATACTCTTATATTTCAATCATCAAACAACAGTTACCCCCTTTTTATCAGTCTACCAGTATCCGTGGGGATCCATAGGGGTCTCCGCTACACATTAACCATTCCTTTAACAAACTTAATTCCCATGGTCGTCCCCATATCCCGTCCGGTATGGGCCCCAAATAATAAAACCTCAAAATCTCGTCCGGTATGAGAGTGAAACGGGCCGTCCCTATACCCCGTCTGGTATGAGTGCCAAAGTATTGAAAGTCTCCATGTCCCGTCCAATATGAGACAACATTCCCGGTAGGGTTTCCTATAGGCCCGGTCTGTCCCCCATCTCCCAAGATATCTAATGAGACTGTCAACTTATCCATTTATCAATTCACATACCTTTTCTATTTTTTTTTTCCATAGTTTTCCGTTTCCCATATAAACATGAATACTTAAACAAGTAACGAGCATCCAATAAGACAAATATATCATCGAATTCACAAAATCAAGCCATAATGAATTAAACAGTGATTCATGCATTCAAAACCATAGAATAAATAAATCAGATACTATACTACATTTAAACTGTAAAATACATCAAACAGGAACTGATAGAGAGATATGTTTGGTTCAGAGCTCCATTAGTAACCGTAATATCTATGTATATCTATTTAATTCATAAAATATAGTTTTATTATTTATTAAACTTTAATCCCGTGATAAGAAATAAGGTGAGAGGTCCTTACCTGATTCGAAGTCGAAAATCAGATTTTTTTCACTGCGCCTACGGGTAGTCCCTGAGTTCCCTGAATTTTCTTTCGGGAACTGAAACGCACTTATGGTACCTACACATATCCCAAATAACTCAAAAATTAGACCCAATGCCTATTTGACAAATTTCGAAATTCCGGCATGGAGGCTCCGCCGTGCTCCGGTGACGGTGGCGGCGATCCGCCTCGGGTTGGCCGTTTCTGGCCGAATTCGGCCAAACTTGCATTGGTTCCTGTGAGAAAACACTCCTAGGGCCCTCGGTGGGCCGAAAAAAAACCAAAAATTGAAACTTACCGGCGGCTGCTCCTCCAGCTTGAGTCGCGATTTGGTGTTTTGCTCTGGTCAACATGTAGAGGAAGGAACGGTAGTCACAATGGTGTAAAAATTACATCGAACGGGAATCGGGAAGGGCCTCATCGGAGGCAAAAATCGAAAAAACCTGCGATGGTGCCGCTGGGCTTCAGAGGTGTTTTTCGGCCAATTGGCCGGTGTTTGGGCTCTGATTTGGCCACAGGTGGGTTTAGAATCGAATTCTGAGCCAATTGGAGAATTTTTACCTTGTTTGGCGGCCGAAAAGTGCTCCAGTGCGGCGACGGGTGGCGGCGGTTGGCTCTCCGGCGGCTGGGCTGTCTTCTTCGGCGAGGGCTCTAGCGGCTAGGGTTAGGGTTTGAGTGTGGATGAGATTATTTATAACCTTCCGCTTTTAATCTGAGCTGTCCATTGCGATTTAATCTGCACCGTTCGATCGCGATTAAAAAAGAAATGAATCTGGACTGTTCATCGCGATGCAATCTGGCCGTCCGTGCGCGCGGGAACAGATTTCAGCCGTTCGATCGCGCGCACCAGGATCGCCCACGTGACTCCCTTCTGCGTGGCCTCCCGCGTCAACATCTCTACCACGCGGCGCGTTCTGGTTAGCCGGGGCTGCTGACTGGGCAGTTGACGTGACACAATTTTTTTAAATTACATTTTGACCCACGATTTTTAAATTTTCTTTCAAAAATACCTCCAAAACTTAAATTTTCACTCATTTTTCTCAAAATTGCTTTCAATTAAATCCCTAAAATAATTTTACCCATTTATTATTATTATTATTTCTATTTAATTAAATTAAACTAAATTAAAACCTTATAAAAATTCATATATTCATATAAAAATTATAAAAAAAAATCAAAATAAAATAATACTAATACTAATAATAATAATAATTGGAGTGTTACAATGATATCTCATCATTAGAAATAAAGAAAGTGAAAGAGCTCCAAAGAGTTATGTTCTTCTGTTATGAATTTATGTACACTTTTGTTCATTTAATTTATTAATAATTTACTTTTAACATTTAAAATATAGTCAAATTTATGTTTAAGAATGGTAACGTTTGTAAACGTCGTTTTAAATAATTTAATTAAAAAATTAAATTTAATATTATAAGTTTATAAGTTTAAATAAATAATAAAATTAACCCAAAAAAACTTAAAATTTAATATCATTAAATATACTTATTTAATTTTTTTGTGTTATTAATTCTGCTAATGCTAGTCTAAACACAAGATAACTTAAACAATTTGACTACATATACTTCTATACAAAATTTGTAGACACGTGTACAAACACACACACGTATATATATATATATATATATACATACATATTTTTTATATAAACAATATTCCTCCAGGACCACTAACTACTACATCGATTTAAAAAGTTGACCAACTTTAAATGACACTACCAAATGGATTATTATTTAATCAAGACTTTAAAAACACTTCGTTATTTTTTAATTATTATTTTTGCTTGCATAAATTACATAGGACAATATTAAATATATTTTTTTAAATAATTAAATATTTTTTTAGAATATTAATTATAATATTAAACTTAAGAATAAGACGCGTGGCGTATTTAATACAACTATATATAAAAAAGAAAATGATCTTTATCATTAAAAAAACACAAATTAATATATTAATATCTTCGAATTTTTGTGTTTTAATTAATTAAAAATGAAATTTTATTTTATTTATGAATTAGTTTATTATAAAATAGATTTACTTACAAATAAAATTTAATTAATATTTGAAATAAATTAATTATAAATAAAATAAAAGGTGGATAAATGGGCCTGTAGGATTAGGTGATAGTTAATAAAATTGGGCCTGAAAGCTAAGCCCAACAAACATAGTAAAATTTGTGACCAAATAATACATACATATATGTATATATATGTGTGTATAATATCTCAAGTTCATTCCCAATTGAGCTAATGTGGGCCTGCTCCGAAATTTTATTGACCCGGTTCGTACAAAGATGGGCCAGGCTAAATGGGCCCATTAGACTAATTGGGCCTGACCCGGCAAATCAGATTAAGTCCAAGCCCAAGCCCAATAGGAGAAATTAAAAATAAAAATACAAAAAAATTAAAAATTAAAAATTAATAAAATTTTAGAAAATAATTAATTATTTTTTAAAAATAATATTTTAGTATAAAACAGAATCACCAAAATTAACATGGAGAGAGTTTGGATAAGGGATGTCAAAGTGGTTGTTTGAACTTAAAAATAAAATAATAAATTATTTAAATAATGTTATTTAAAAAAATAAATATTAATTAATTAAATTTAATATTTACACTAATATTTAAATTATTCAAATATATTAAAATTATATTTGACTTTAATTTTATTTAATAAATTTGACACGTAGATATTGAGAGTGAAGAGTGAAAATCAAAATTTCCAGTTGCCAAAAAAAAAAAAGAAAATTATAAATAAACTTTAAAAAAAAAAAAACATTAAATTAAGAATTATAATAATTATAACAAACAGGAAACCAGACCAGACCAGCTTATGACTAAATGACTCCTTCAGCTCTAAATCACAGTAGGTTTAGATCCAATCGTCTTTATCCTCAATGGATTTTCTCACTCTCCCTCCCCGCCCAATCCACCATGGATTCCACCTCTAGCTCTCTGTCTTTTATCTCCTTCCTTGCACAATAAAACAGTCGCTGAAAAGTCTCTGAGGAAATCAGACAAGACACGGAGTGCGAGAAGGAGAAAACTCTATACAAATTATGGCTACTTTGATTGTAGATAGTCTTGGGAGTTTAGGAATTTCGGTTTTGTGATGAGTTTACTGGGTTTAGAGAGGAAAAGAAAATTAAAGATTAAGAGAAGAAAAATATGATTTCTTCGGGGATAAACGTGGTGATGACGGTGATAGGATTCGCTGTGAGCACTATGTTCATAGTCTTCGTCTGCACGCGGCTGGTTTGTGCCCGGATTCATTTGAATGCTTCGAGAAGATCATTTCCTATTGCTTCAAGATCTGATCTCAGTCTGGTAAGAGTTGTTTTCTGCAATTCTAGTTTTCTCTGTTGTTGGGTTAAGTTTTACTTCAGTTTACTGATTATTGATTGATATCAAGTTTCTTTTTTTTTTCTTCCCTTCTTTTGAAGTATTTCAGTGGATTTGAATTTTTCTTTTCAGAGTTGTATTGAGAACATGTTTATTAATGGGTAGTTGGCTATAGAGATGGAGACAATTGCTTTTTGTGAGTATGGGGGGGGGGGGGGAAGGGATTTGAGATTTTATTTGGGTTTTATTGTCACTTAGATCTTGCTCAGATTGGTATTTCTTGTTTGTTTCCTTTTTCCTTTTTCCTTTTTTCTTTTTTTAATCTAACATTGCATCATGAGTTATTCATTTCATGCCGAAACTTCTAAAATGGTCTGACAATATCTATCATATTAGATTTTGATTCAATATTTTCCTAACTTGGATGGGGCAAGGTTTCTGGTATCCATCATTTTACTTTTGTTTCTAGTTCAGCAAATTCTTCTGATGCCAGTTAATTAAATACCTTTTCATAGTATTGTTTTGTCTTTTTTTTTTTGTCTTTACCTTTTTTTAAACTGAATCAAGAACCTAGTTAAGAGTATGGCAGACTCATTTGAAGAGCCTATGCTGAAAATGAACAAGAGGATTATTCCTTATTTGTTATGCACGTCCATTTTACAGTGAGGCTTTACTTTCGGATAGCATCTTCCAAAATTTAAAAGCTTTTTATGTAGCACTGACTTCGGTCTCCTTGTCTAAAAGGGTCTAAACTATATTGCTTGTACAGCTGGAGCGAGGGTTACATGGTCTTGAGCCTGTAGTGGTGGCCAACTTCCCAACAAAGAAGTACAGTGATGAGTTCTTCTCTGCTGTCGAAGATGCTCAGTATGTTTTCTATTTTCCTTATTTAATTCAATGGGCTAATATTTGCTTTTTATTCTTTTATGTTATTTTTGTAGTGATGACAAGATACCTAGGATTTGTTCGGTCTATGATTAAGTTGCTGTATTTGTTCAGTATAGATTTATGGTTTATGTCAACTCCAAAATTAATGAGGTCTGCAGAATTATTTGCTTCATTGATCACTAAGCAAAAGATGCATGGAAATAGCAAAGTAGATTTTCTAGGACATTTTATTCTTTATAGTTTAGTTTTTGAGCAAAATGCGCCTTCTCGCTTTTGTGGACTTAGTCAAACACTATTCAGGGTCTTCATTTTGCAGGCATAGGGAATCTATATTCCACTTTATAGAGCTGAAGCTTAAATAACCATTACTTGACACAGGAAGTAGCTTCTCTTATCATATTTGGATCCATGGTTTTGAGTGGCTAAATTGATGCCTACCTTTGTCACACTGTTACTGAAATTGTTGTAGAATGATTATCTCACGGAATGAGACGCAGCATTCAAGGAGATGTGTAAAACAAGATAGGAGTTTTAACTGAAGGAAGATATAGAGGTATAGGTTAGTTTCAGATGAGTTTCACATCTCTGTAATTATAATTTGAAGACTACTTGAAAATTTGTTCATAAATCTATCCTCCTTATTTCTATTTGCTGGTCCTTTTCATATTGCTCTGCCTAGTGGTCTATAACTTGTCCTCATTGTTAAATTTGCCATCTCTTGAATATGCTTCTTCTCTAGATCCGCGTCGTACATTATGGTTAGTTGTAGACATCTAGAACAGAATTGCAAACGAGAACTTCAATATGCAGAATGTGCTTCATGACCTTCTTCAAGCTGGTGTTCCAGCATAAATTTTATCAATTTTTGCAGCTTCCAGTGATGCTGCTTCACACACTGATCAAGGACAAAAGTTTTTCCCTATCTTTCATGTTTTTGGATATGCATAAGGATTTCTTTGTAGAATGTCAGAAGAAGTGTAGAAGCAATTGTATTGCCATCTAGCTTATAAATTAGGTTTTTGTTTTCCTAGACTATTTTTGTAACACCCAACATTTGTTTTTTTTTATTATTATTATTATTATTTTTTAAATATAGTTATTTATATATTTAATTTATTTTATTTTAATTTAATGAAAAAATAAGTAAAAATTTGTTAAGTATTAAATTAAAAATAATTTTGAAAAAAAGGGGTGAAAATTTGAGTTCTGTAAATATTTTTGAAAGAAAAATCAGAAACCGGGGGTCAAAATACAATTTAAAAAAATTACACCATGTTAGACGCCCGGTCAGCAGCTCCGACCAATCAAGATGTGCAAAGTGGTAGAGGCGCTAACACGGGAGGCCACTCGGAGAAGAGCCATGTGGGCAAACCGCATGTGCGCGATCGAACGACCCAGATTGAATCGCGATGAACGGCCCAGATTCACTCCTTATTTAATCGCGATCAGACGGTTCAGATCAAAAGCGATTGACGGCCCAGATCAAAAGCGGATGGGTATAAATAACCTCATCCACACCCAAACCTTAACCCTAGCCGCCAGAACCCCTTGCTGGAGAAGACAACCCAGCTGCCGGGGAGCCTACCGTCGCCACCTACCGCCGCACCGAAACCTTTTCCGACCGCCAAAAAAGGTAAAAATTTCTCTTTTTGCACGAAATTCAATTTTAAACCCATCCATGGCCAAATCGGAGTGAAAGAACAGGCCAATTGGTCAAAAAATGCCATCGAAGCCCGGTGGCGCCGCTGCGGGAAATTTCACAAACCGCCTCCGATGAGACCCTTCCCGATTCCCGTTTTGTATAATTTTTCCACCGTTGTGATTACCGTTTTCCTTTCTACAGGTTGACCGAAACGAAACACCCAACCGCAATGTGAGCCGAAGGAGTCGCCGCACTGAAGAACCCCAACCCTGGTGAGTTTCGGTTTTTCGTATTTTTTCGGCCTACCGAGACTGTTTAGCGTGTGTACGCGCAGGAATCAGTGTAAAATCGACCGAATTCAGCCAAAAACGGTCAACCCAAGGCAGGCCGTAGCCCCCGCCGTCGTCGGAGCACAGCGAAACCGCAGTGCCGGATTTTCGAAATTGGCCAAGTAGGCCCTGAGACTAATTTTTAAGTTTATTTGGGACATTTGTAGGTACCGTAAGCGCGTTTCAGTTCCTAAAGAAAAATTCATGGAACCCAAAGACCACCGGTAGGCGTAGTAACCATTTAGCTTTTCAGCGTCAAATCAAGTAAGGACCCTTCACCCTATTTTCTATCATAGAATTGAAGTTTGAATAAATAATAATACGGTCTTTTGTACAAATTAAATAGATGTGCATAATTAATTACGGATTGCTAATGGAGTCCGAATCAGACATGTTCTTTGTTGATTTATTTTACAGTATAAAAGTATGATGGTATCTTATTTATATATTTTATAGTTTAAATGCATGTATTACTGCCTTACTTGACCACTGCTTGATTTTGAGATTTAAGATATGATTGCATTACTGGATGCATGTTCATTTATTTATATGATTATGTTTGAGTTGGTAATGGGGACTAAGGAAAAACAAGAAAGGGGTGTGATCTAATAAACATATAAGATAATAGTCTCACTAGATATCATGAAAGATGGTGGACGGACCGGATTCTAGGAAACCCTACCGTGAACGTTGTCTCATACCGGACGGGGTATGAAGACTTGGTCATTTGGTGCTCATACCGGACGGAGTATAGGGACGGCCCGCTTCACCCTCATACCGGACGGGGTATTGAAGTTTAATATCTTGGTGCTCATACCAGACGGGGTATGAGGACGGCTCTGTAATTAAGATTGTTAAAGGAAATGGTTCACGTGTAGCAAGGATACCCCTATGGATCCCCATGAATACTAATAGGTTGGTGAAACGAGAGACGGTTATGATTTAGTTTATTGTTAATGAATGTGAATTTATGATATATTCTATGTTGCTGATCGTGCATGAAGTTGTGATCTGTATGATATTATTGTTTTTATAATTTGTTTTCATAAATTTTCTAACGGTAAGTGAAAGTTAAATGGTTTTATTTTTAATAAATGTATTGGTTTAAATTTAGTGCTCCATTAGTTGTTTTGATTTTCTACCAACCTTTGTTTCTATGCCGGTGATATAGTGTGATGTTTTTACTGGGATAGTATAGTTCATTCTTTATTTAACCATTTCAGATCAAGAGAATCTGGTTCCCGAACCCGATCCGCAAGAAGATTGCAAGTAGATGCTAGATATTTTATATTTTCCTTTACTTTTTTCATTTTTCGTGTTTCTTTCAGAGAATTCATTCCGCGATGTTTGTTTAATACTTTTAAATTATTGTGTAAGAGATGTAAACGTTAACTTTTTAGTTCGTTTCCGCACTTAAATTATTATATATTTCTTTTTGGATGTGCGGGGTCGTTACAATTTTTCTTTCCTCAGATGTCATTCTATCTCTTAATGTTATAACTTGCAACAAAAAACGAGTCATCTATTTTTCTTTGATACTGTTACAGTATTATCTTTTACTTTCTATTTTTTAGTCTGTTTTTTGGACCAGATCCATGATCTTCACTGCAGTATAAGTGGTTCTTGTCCTCAGCCAGCCCTTCACTGCTACATTTCTTAGCTTGGAGAATCTCCTTATTGTTACAAAGCAACCAGAAAGAATTCAGTTTAGATATAGGATACCTATTCAGAAGTTTAGTCACTGTTCCATGTTAATGGAACTAATGGTCTCTTATGTTGACTATTCTGGTTACTTTCTAAAGTTCTTTTTCTTTGATGCGAACGAATTTTCAATGGAACACCATGTGCTCCGTAATTTGCATTTCAGGTTTAACTTGGAGGAGTGAAGTTTATAAAGATCTTTCTTTACTGAGTGAGCAATAAGCAGAGAGGAGTGGAGTTTGGAAGATCTTTTTTTTTTTTACTTTTTTTTACTAAGTGAGCAATAAAGATTGTCAGATTTCAGGTTTAACTTTAGGTCCTGACCTGTTGCTTAATTCTTACAGCCTTTTAGGAGAAAATTTGTATCTGTTTATATTGTTCTATTGGCATTCTATATTGCATCTCTTACTGGTTGGAGCCTCTTTGGTATTTGACAATTTCAAAGCGACAAATGTCAGTCTGTCTCTAGGATTTCTCTAAACTTTTGATTGGTCAAAAGTTTGCTACAAGAAAAATGAAGATAATTCTTTATGCACTTCTTGAGTACAATGTGATTTTTTATCATTCAAGTCTATTACTTGGTCTTTTCAACCTCTGTTTACTTATTTTCAGCTTGACAGCAACAAATAGAATGGAAATATCTTATCTAAGCTTGTAATCCCGACTTCTTGGGGATTAGTCACAGTGGATCCTTTTTCTTCAGTCTGTGTAAACCTAAAAATATTATTCTTCAGAAGCCCAGAAATAGTCAGCCTGAGATCATTTCAATCTAAATGTTAGAACCTATTTTCCACTATTTAGAAATAAAACTGAAGCTAGGGAAAATCCCGGGAATAAAGTGTAACGCAATGCTTAAGCAGTCTTTATTAGCCAATTTATACTTGATTTGATGGAGCAGAATATAAGCATCCTATGCTTTTTTTTTACTTTTTCATTATCATCCTTTTTTTGGTTTTGAATTGAGTTATTTGAGGTCATCACCCTTCAATTTATTTTGCTATGAAAGACTGTTGGATCCTGAATAGTTTCGAATCAAAAGTTGATTAACTGTCTGGACCATTCTTCGGATCGTTTGCATCTAGTTCTATTTGAATCTTTTTCTTTTTTCTTCTATTAGTGGCATGTGTCCTGTTTTTCTTGCTGCTCAAACATCTTGCTAATTTAAATGTTAAACTTTGGTCCCTGTCAGGTGCTCAGTTTGCCTTTCAGAATACCATAGCGAAGACATATTGCGGATCCTCCCTTATTGTGGGCACTCCTTCCATGTAGCCTGTATAGACATATGGCTGCAACAGCATTCTACATGTCCTGTTTGTCGAATATCACTCCGGGAATTTCCTGATAGAAAACATGTAATGCAACCCTTGTTCAGTTCAGCAATTAGATCTCAGTACGGTAACGAATCCTTTGACACACATTCATACAATTATTTGATGTCTGAACACGGGCTTTCGTCGAGAACCCATGACAGTCATGGGATGGACCCAATACAAGAAGATCGTTGCACATCTCAAGATGATGAACAAGAGGCCGGTGGGGCTGTCTCCCCTGTTTCTGATAGTAATCTCACCACTAAAACCGTGGGAAGCAAGCACGTCGAGAGCCCATCAAATCCCTAAATTTAATTGATTAGTATCTCATGAATCAGCATTTATGGGGACTTCCTGATTTTCTGAGTTTGAAGATGTGTATAAATGCATTGGATGTTGAAACTTGGATTGCAACTTGATATTCCTCAGGAAGTCCAATATTGTTCGATGTTCCCTTTTTTTTTTTTTCTGTAAATATCGCCATAGCCTTTTCTTCTTCTTCTTGCTCTCTTAGCCACTCAGACATTAGCTGGTTTCTGGGCAGTTTTGTTAGTCACAGATGCAAAAGTACTACAAGTAGCCTCCTGCCATTTTTCTTTATCCAGATTCTGATCATTTTTAACTGAAACAAGCGCACGGTGGAATTTTTTACTTAAATCTTTCGAATTTCGAAAACTCTTTTACTGACAAATGGATGAAATTCAAACTGTTTTAACCTCTGTGAAAAATCCTGAAGATAATTACTGCCTCAAAAGCATCCCCAAAAAGGACAAAAGAAACTGGAGAAAAAGTGAAAGAAAAGGGAGATCCTTGTCTCCAAGAATTTGAAACTCTTCTATGCTTCTGATGGTTTATAACTTTCCAAACAACGAATCATTACAGAAAATTAAAGAGAAAAAAAAAATATTATTCATAGAGAGTGAAGATCATTTTGTTCCCATGAGGGAGAACATGTATATTATTAAAGTTGAGATCTGTATATAATATAAATATAAATATATATGTATATATGCATGCAGATGAGCGAGTGGCAGTATTCCTTCTTGTAGAAGTGTATGTATAATTCAATATTTAGCCAGGTAGAGAATACTAATATATTCTTAATCCATTACAGAAGTTTTTTCTTAATATATATATATATACATATGCCAATATTTTCATCTGGAACTATCCCTACTTTTGACTTCATATTCTAATCAATTTTTTCTTTTTCTTTTTTTTTTAATTTGGGTAAATTTTTATTATAATATTTTTTAATTTATATATATATATATATATATATATATCACATTAATGCTGCCTACCCAAGTTAGATATCTTTACTTAAATTTCTTCTTTTCTTCAACCTGTCTCCGTTCATAATCTAGTAAGCATGACCAAATTATCTCTTGGCCACTACTTCTAACCCTCTGCTAGAAATGGGTATCAATATACATACATACACACACATATATATGTATATCTGTGTGTATATAGCCAGCATTAAACTAACATATGCTCTCATGTATTGTCTGGTTAACTCAGCAGGTAAAATGGAGCTGTCTATTTATCTATATATGGATGCAGCATAGACCAATGAAGCTTCCCTTTCGGTGGAATAAATAAACACACATGCAACAAACAAATCAAAGTCAACTATAATTTCTTCCTAACACTTCAAAAAAAAAAATTAAAATTAAAATTTCACGAAACGTATGTATTATAAACTGTATTATAAACTAACAGTGACTGACTGACGCATAATATTTGATTCAGTTGATTTAACACTCAACCCGTTAATATATTTATTGAATATTACAATTCTAGTAAATGAGCTGTTAGATTTACTTTGATTGAAATAATCATAACGCGTTGGTAATTTTAGTGAGATAGTTGGTAATTCTGAAATTATGAGTTCGGGTTTTGAATTATTTTGTATAAGAGATTATATTATTTATATTACTGTAAGAATATAAATTCTATATAATGAATGTTTATTAAAAAAATTCAAAATATATATTATGACACAATTAATATATTCTGAAATATATGGTAGTGTTCAAAATTGATGTTGCACCAAATTTGGCTGCCATAAATAGTTGTAATTAAATATTTTTTTTTTCTCTTAATTGATAAACCCTATGGCATATAGTTTAACAATTCATCAATGTATAGCTTCTCTATTTTCCTTCATTAATCCTCAATATTAAAATTATAATTATACAAAATGTTTTTGAAAATTATATAATTTTTTTTTCTAATTATAAGTAACAATTAAATTAATTGCACGAGTGAAATTTAATATAAATTTATTTTTTATAAAAAATTACGAGTTTAAGTCGAATTATATTTTAATTTAATACGTTAAATACTAATTACAATTTAACAATTTTTCATTTTAAAAAAATAGTGAGTTTGAATTGAATTATATTTTTGTGTGTATTATTATTTGAAAATTACTTATATTATATTATAAATATATCATTTAATTAATAATATAAAAAACTTACTACAAGAAAAAATTACCATGCTAAATTTTCAAGAAGCAAATTACTCCTGAAAGGTTCCACAGGCCACAGAACCTAAACGTACAGAATACATAGATAGAAGTAGAGATAGATACATATATATATATATATATATGTATATATAATATCATGGATATCACTCTCCGTTGACCAAGGGGACCATGGATCCTCTAGGTTTAACCGTGGCTGTCAAAGTCTTCTTCATCACGACCGTAAACTCCAACTTCCCAGTAAAATCCAACTCACTGTTTGGTGGGTAAGCACTCCACTCGAACTCCTGCACCATTCTCGCCAGCATCAAGCTCACATGCAGCGTCGCCATGCCCAATCCAGGGCATATTCTTCTCCCAATCCCAAACGGCATCGTTTTAACCCCACCACTCTCCGTCATATCTGCACTTTCTTTCCCGGAAAAAAACCTCTCCGGGTCGAACTTCTCCGGATCTTCCCACAGTTTCGGATCCTTACTGATCCCCGGCAAGTATATCTCGACGTTCGTATTCGCCGGAATATCATACCCCGCCAACGTCGTCGTCTCCGTCACGGCATGAGTTAACGAAAAATAAGTTGGTGGGTGCTTTCGCAGTAATTCTTTCACGAAAGCTTGCAAGTATTCCATTTGGTCAACGTCTTTCTCGTTGACTTTACGTGAAACACCGACTGTTCGTTTGATTTCATCGTGGAGTTTGGATTGAATTTTCGGGTTAGCGATGAGTTCTGCTATACCCCATTCGATTGCAGTGGCTGTCGTGTCAGTTCCGCCATTGATAAACTCGGAGCAGAGCGAGACTAGTTCTTCGTTAGACGGCGTCGTTGTGCGTCCTTCAACTTTTAAATCGAAGAGCGTGTCGAGGTAGGAGAAGGAAGTTGCTGTTTTATCAGACCCAGGATTGTTTAGAGCGTTTCGTCGCTGTTCGATGAATTTTGAAACGAAATCAACTTGTCCTTTTCTTACCTCCATAGCTCGTTTTCTTTGCTTGGAGAAAAATGGCCTCAAGATCGGGAGATAATCATCAATTCTTGGATCAAGAATGATTAAAACAGTTTTCATCATCTGATCCATTTTCTCGACTGTTTCCTCATCCATTTCGATTCCAAACGACATAGTAAGAAGAATACAGAAGACAGCAAATCTTGCGGTTTTAAGTACTGAAACAAACCCATTTGCTTCAGCTTCTAAGTGAATTCTCTCAATGAGTTTATCCATGGCGGTATCTCTAACATGACGGAACTCCTTGAGCTTCGAGGAGGAGAGCATGTTCTGCACCATGTTGCGTCGTAGAGAGCGCCAGATGGGGCCGTGAAGGGCGGCGTTGACGGTGAACTTGTTGCAGCTGAAGACGGTTCTGGTGGGATTTTCAGGTGGTCTGGTGGCGAAAAGAGATCCTCTGTCGATCAAAGCTTCATGACAAAGCTTTGCATCGCTGATGATTATCATGGTTCGTGTCCCCATTTTCAGAGTGTAAATGGGTCCGTACTTTTGTCTGAGCTCGTCGGCGTATTTGAAAAAAGGTTTTCCAGAGGTAGTGAACTGAAACAAATTGCCGATAACTGGCCAACCAGGTGGCCCTGGAGGAAGATTCAGTCGTTTCGACTTGGTTTTGCGGGAGGCTAAGAAGAGAAAAGCGGAGAATACAAAGATAAGAAATGTAAAGAAGAGGTTGCAGTCATGCAAGACCAGAGAAGAAGAAGAAGAAGAAGAAAAGAGAGCCATTTGTTGTGAGGATTCCTGAAAGGTGAAGTTAGGTTAAAAGATATAAAAATGGAGACGGCATGAAATTGCAGGTGAGGGTTTTAATTTATAATAATAATAATAATAATAATAATAACAACAATTAAGAATCTGAGGAAGAGAGTAAGAGTTTGGTGGGTTCCTGTTAAATGCTAACGAGAGAGAATAACTAGTTAAATCCGTGGGAGCCGCCATTTATATATTTATACCACTCTTTCCTTACATATACATATATATGTATATATATATACACATATAAATATACGTATCCCATATTTGAACCCATGGCTAGCCCAAGGCAACCTAATATAATATAATATAAGAAATTTGATAACTTGAATTGTTTGTATTGTTAAATTCAAGGATGACTTCTTAAAATTTTATTTTTCTGTCTAAAGGGTAGAACTATTTGTATCACATATATATATATATATATAAATATATACATACAGTATCAAAACTCCTGGAAAATTAAAATAGTTTGCAGGGCAGTTTTAAATCTTTCTTTTTTCTTTTTTTTTCTTGACTTCGTTTCTCATGATTCTGTGATTGTTCTTCAATAGTCAACCATAGCACATATATGCTCTATGTATACGTAGCAATACCAGCGAGAGCATGAACAGTATGTATTATATATGTATATATGTGTATATATAGAGTAGATATGTAGAATCAGTGGGCTAGAGGTAGCTGAGATTGGAGAATTAAAAGCAGTGAAAAGAAAAAGAAAGTAGAAGCTGAGGTAGATACAGTTAGACCATCTTAATTACAGGAAATTAAAGTGTAGTCGTTGTCTGGGGAGAGCAAAAACCAGACGAAATTGCATTTCATTGCATGCATGGCCTAGAACTTGTTCAAGAAACTTTTTAATAAATGAAGTTGCTGATTTCTGTGACCATAAATTCTATCATCTCATATAATTAATTTAATACTGTATTAATAAAATTATAGTGATTAAATTGTGTTTAATCTCACCGAATTACTACGATATATAACTATCTAATTTACTTTATTAATTCCAAATATAAATAATGAAGATATTTATTCAATTTATTTAACTTATTTTTCTAGAACGAAAGGCACAGGGAAAAGAAAAATTTTCGTTTCACTGAATTACACGTAGAGATATTGATAAAATACATAGAGTTAAATGGTATTTCATAATTAATTAATTGAACAGCAGCTCACAAACCACCTAAAAAAAAATATTTATTATTTGATCTATATCCTGACATAAGAAGTTTAATAGGAGCAATACTTGAGATGACAATCCATAAAAAAAAATACCGATATTGAGATCCGCTAAAACAAGGTGATTGTTAAAAGAAATTATTGAATAACTTAGTAAAATTGATATAAATATATTCACGATGGTTAAAAACCTAACTTACCCTTTTAAAAAAATACTTTTTGAGAGATAAATTAGTTATAAGTAATGTTTTGTTAGAAATGTGTAGAAGAAGAATATGAGATTAATAGAAATATTTAATTTTTTTTTTAAATTTGTAATATTACTATAAATTTTGAAGTATGTAGGTATGTATAAGCACTTATACAACTTTTAAAATTCTAAATTAATTAACTTAATACATGATTTATCAAGAAAAATTTAAAAAACATGTATTAATTATTATATTTATAGTAATTATTTTCAACAGGAAATATATTTTTAGAAAAACTTTGTAATACCCAGTCCCAAAATTTGGATCGGGATTAATTTTAAAATTAAAAAATATATATATAAATATAAATTTTAAATTTATAAGTATTTATTTAATGTAAAATTAGGAAAAAAAATAGGTAGATGATGAAATTAAAAATAATTTTGAAAAAAATAGTTAAAATTTGGGTTCAGATGATATTTTTGAAAGAAAAATCTGAAACTGGGGAGTCAAAACGTAATTAAAAAAATTGAGTCACGTCAGACAGCCCAGTCAGCAGTTTCGACGAACCAGAGTGCGTTATCTGACAAGATACGCTGACTCGGTGCCATGCGGGAGGTCACGCTGGCAATCCGCGTGGCCACGATCAAATGGCCCGGATGCGTTCCCGCGCGCGTGGACGGTCCGGATCTATTCCCTCCTCAGGCGCAATCGAACAGTCACGATTAAATACGATGAACGGTCCAAATTCGTTCTTTCTTTAAATACGATCGAGATCAAATCGCGATTAACGGTTTAAATTCATTTTCTCTTTAAACACGATTGGACGATCGAGATCAAACGCGATGAACGATCCATATTTAAGAAAAACCGATATAAATATCTCACTTCACACTGAACCCAAACCCTAGCCGCCAGCCCCCCGTCGAAGAAGAAGAACCAGTCGTCGGAAAAAATAGCCGACCGCTGCGCCGGAGCTACCTCCGACCACCAAAAAAAGATAAAAATTCTCCTATTCGCTCAAAATTTGATTTTGAACACCCCATAGTTAAATCGGAACAAAAAGAACGGCAGATGAGGTGGAAACCGTGAGAAAAGTCCGGCACCGCCGCCGCATAAAAAATTAAAAATCGCATCTGATGAGCCCCCTTTCGGTTCTCATTTTGTGCGATTTTTTCATCATTATGTTCACCATTTTGTTTTCTACAGGTTAACTGAAGAAAAACGCACAGTCACGAATGTGAGCCGGTGGAGTCGCCGCACTAAAAAATTTCACTGCCGATAAGTTTTTATTTTTTGACTTTTTTGGCCAACTGATGTCCCTTAATGTGTTTTCTCGCAGTGATGAATATAAAACTTGTCGAAATCGGTCAAAACTAGCCAAAAACGGTCAGTTTGAGGCAAACCACCGCCACATGCGGCAATGCCGCCATACCAAAATTTCAAAATTAGCTAAAAAAGGTTTTTAACACCGATTTTAAATTTTTTGGGTATTTTTATGTACGTGAAACGTATTTTTACCTCAGCATAAAAATTCAGAAAACTCGGAGATCGGCATAGGTGCAATAAAAATTTCAGTGTTTCGGATACTAATTCGAGTAAAAATCTCTCACCTTATTATCTGTTATGGAATTGAAGTCTAATTATAAATAATACGGTACTTTGCGAAATTTAGAAAAATTAAATAGTTAATTACAAGTTACTAACGGAGCCGAAACCGGTTATTTATTACTG